CTCTGGGCCGACCACCACCAGGAGTCCCGGGCTCTGGGCCGAGCACCACCAGGAGCCCTGTCTCTGGGCCGAGCACCACCAGGAGCCCCTGGCTCTGGGCCGAGCACCACCAGGAGCCCCGGGCTCTGCTGCCAGGCTGGGCTGTCGCTGCCTTGCGACGAGCCCCACTCTGTCTGCCCTCCTCCACAATGTCACATTGTCTGCCACCCTGACAGGAAGAAGATGAAAAGGGTATGGAACGAAGGGAGGAAGCGGCAGGTCTGGAGCGAATGGACCCAGGAGCCTGCATGCTGCCTACATTGCTGATGCCGCTGTCTCCAGGCAGGATTATGAGAAAACTCGGCCTCCAGTCTTTGTTAGATGAACAGACAAAAGAATTTGATGCCAAGGCAGTTATGTTCTCATCAAATGCTGTGACAGAGCTTAGTTAACCTCAGTGCCAGCGTCATTGGGATGTTCCTCGTTGCTGAGTTTTGACTTTGCTGCTGGACTGTTCGTCACAAAGACAGATGCGGATCGGTCAGGAGAAATCACATGGAGACCACTGGCTTCATCTCTCCTGGGGGAGAGAAAACAAAACACGTGGCAGGAGGATATCAGTCAACATACACCTGAAACATTCAGAACCTGAGACAGGGGGCAGCATTACGTATCTCCCAGTGAGAAGAATTCAGGTGTGATCAAACTGAAGATTAGATAAAGAAATAATTGACTAATCTGAAATGGCTAATATGTAAAGGGTACTAATTCAGAGAGAGAGAGGTATTGCACATGCTGCCAGCATGCTGACTAACAGAAACTTGACTGAATCTGACTGTAACCTGCACAGCTCCCTGCTGTTTTATTGATGTACAGAGTTGATTGACATCTTGAAGCATTGAATGCTGTCACTTGGAGAAAAGCAAAGGCTGCCTGGTTGCTGAGCTGTCGGTGATATTCAGCAAACGGTGAGCTCCCAGTTTTGAAGAGGGGCTAGATTGTTGGGGGATGGGGTCTGATGCTGCAGCAGGCTGCAGTGTGCCAGGGAGACGGAACCACCAGTATTCCTGAAGGAGAGGCTGGACTCTGTGATCCTGGCTGGGCAGAGAGGGGTAGCAGCAGCAGGAGGACGTTCTCTGAGGAAGGGGACAGTATCTATCAGGAGCTGCATGGCCATCAGACACCTGCAGTCGGTTATGAAACGGATCTGTCTCTGTGCTGCCTCTCTGTCAGTATGTTTGCTTTCTCTCTCTCCCTTATATTTTCATCCTGCTCACACTGTGCTATCGTTAAATAGCGTTGATGCTGCATTGCATTCATTCGAATGAGCACGTTTTAAAAACCCACTCATTCACGAACTGTAGGTGTTGTCGGGTCGCTACTGGGGAACCTTCAGCATTTAATGTATTGCTACAGCAAATCAGTCAGTACTTTTTTAAAATAATCAGCTTTGTATGAGTCTGATTTTACATCTCCTTGAGCCTGCAGGAGGGTCCTTGGCTATGTTTATTTGCGAGCCAGGAGCAAAGTGCTGTCACTGTACTATAGAGGACAGCGTGAGGGGAAGGGACCCAAGGCTACCTCAGGCAGAATGGGGATTGAACGGGGCTGCTGGTATCCATCAGATCGACATACTAACCATCTAAACAACTGAGCTAACCGCACCCCTCTATGGTTTTACATGCCTCCATGTAAAGAAAAATAAAAGTAAAAGTGATTTATGAAAAATGTATGAAAAATGCTGTTTGTTATACTTTTGTTTTAACCACACAACAGATGGGAACTGTCTATAGATTGCCAGATCTGACCGGATAGATACTGTTGGAATTGCTGTTTCTGCCCACTGTACCTTGTGATGTTACAGGGATCTTTCATTAGACATGACATTAAGACTCAAAACCCTTACCTACACGGATCAAATCTCTCTTGAGATGAATAAAATAAAAATTTTCATTTCTGTACCACTCTGTGAGATGGTTTAGCTCAGTTGTCTGGATGGCTGAAATATTTGTGAAATAGAGTGATACTACTAGTGTGTGTTCAATCCCTGTCCTGTCTGAGGTTACCTTTCTCCTTGCCTGGGGATATGAGGACCCTTAGGTTAAAGCACCTTTAATGAGATTGTAATCCCGTGCTCTGGTAAGATTATAGTTACATTACCTTTAGGCCTATCTCCAGGATATCCCATCTTTGAAATGGATTAGCTATTATAATGTAGCATCAGGTTCTGTAGGAGAAACTCTGATAGAGGACACAGTGATCATGACTGGATAGTCTGTCCTTTTTGTGGTGTTGATTTAGGGACCAGAATTAGTTAGGACACCATGTAAATAAACTACACCCACATACGATAAGTTACTGCTAAACTTTGCCCCAGTCAGTGTTATTTCACTTTAATGTTGCTCAAATAATTTGGATTATATATCTGCACTGTGTTGCCACATTCACCATAATGTTGTTTTCCGCAGATTTCCTGTTCTATGGCCTGCACATCTCACTCTGGACATGATGTGCTTCCCAGTACTATGGGGGTCAGTACACCTCTTCCCTCTGCCCCTGTCGTCAGTTCTGCTCCTGTTCTTTTACTCTCTATTGTCACCTTCACAATCTTTGGTGCCTGTTACCACCAACAGGGACATGTTCAATTGATTCCTCTTGCACTCTTAGTTTGCACTCAGCTGCTACTTGCACCAACCAAACTGTCCACTAGGTGTGGCCTGGTCAATCTGAAACCAGGGAATTTGTCTTTACATTTATATATACCTTTTTCATATATGTCATTTGGTTTTATTCTGAAAATTATTTCATTTATAAATGTGGAAATTTGGTAGTGTATGGTATTGAAACTTATAATTCTTTAACATTTTTTCTGCTCAGTATTGTCATATAGAGCCCAACCACAGTATTTTTTTGCACTTAGTGATACATTTTAGTTTCTAAGTTACTCCAGATAGAACTGCATAGTACTACACACGTATGGTACTTATGGTACAGTACATCATTTCAGCTTGTTCAGTTTTTTTTTGTTCATTCGTAGCTAAATTTGCTGGTGACACAAAAATAGGTAGGTAGTGAGTTGTGAGGAGGAGCCCACAAGGGGATGTGGATAGGTTACATGAGTGGGCAACAGTCTGGTAGATGGAGTATAACATGGGAATGTGTGAAATTGCCAATTTTAGTAGAAAGAAAATAACAGTATATTACCTAAATAGTGAGAGGGTGAAGAGATCTGAGATGCAGAAAGATCTGGGCATCCTAGTGCATGAGCCACAGAAAGTTAGTGTGCAGACACAGCAAGAAATTAGGAAAACTAATAGAATGTTGTGGCTTATTGTGGAGGAGGTTTAATGCAAGAGTAGAGAGATTGTGCTTCTACTATAAAGAAGACATTGGTGAGATTATATCTAGAGTACTGTGTACAGTACTGGCCAACAGACTCATGGAAGGATGTTAATGTGTTGGAAGCAGTTGAGACAAGGTTTTCTAGACAAAACCTGGAATGAGTGGATTGCCTTATGAGGAAAGGCTAGATAGGATATGCCTGTATTCTCTGGAGTCTGGAAGAGTCCGAGCTGATTTAATTGAAAGATTTGAGATCCTGAGGGCACTTGACTGGGTGGATGTCAAAGAGATGCTTCTTCTCTAGGAGAATGTAGAACACGATTTAAAAATAAAGGGTCACCCATTTAAGACAGAAATGAAGATTTTTTTTCTAACATAGGGTTGTGAGTCTATGGAATTCCCTTCCTCAAACGGTAGCATATACAGAATCTTTAAATATTTTTAAGGCAGAGGTAGATAGATCCATAATGTACCATGGTGGCTCAGTGGTTCTCACTGCTGCCTCATAGCACCAGGGGCCTGGGTTCTGTCTGTGTGGAGTTTTCATATTCTTCCTGTGTCTGCGTGGATTTCCTCTGGGTGCTCCAGTTTCTTCCTACAGTCCAAAGATGTGCAGGTTAGGTGGATTGGCAATGGGAAATACAGGATTAGAGGGATAGGGTAGGGGTTTGGGTTTGGGTGGGATGCTGTTTGAAGGGTCAGTGTGGACTTGATGGGCTGAATGGCCTGCTTCCACGCTGTCGGGACTCTATGATTACCAAGGGAATGAAAGATTATCGGGGGTGAGGTGGGGGCGTGGTGCAGGGATCAGACCTAATTTTCTTCCTTGTTTGTATGTTTGTGTAAATGTCCAATGGAACTTAACTCAGCCTGTAACATTCATTCCTGTAGGAGCCTATAATTCATTTGAAGTCACTTTACTTAAAATCACAGTTTTCGGTAACTCAACTATAACTCTAAACAAGAACTTACCGTAGTGCCATTGAGTATTTAATATTATCCATAGAAGGTGAATGGGGTGTAACGTTCATCTGAAAGCCCACCAACAACGCAACTCCAAACTGGAGCATCAGCTTAAATTTTAATTCTATAAGTGTCTGAAGTGAGATTTGAATACTCACCCTTCTGACTCAGGTGAGTGCCACTACCTGAAAGCTGATCAAAATAGCAGAGATAAGACTTTGTTAAGAGTATGCTAAGTCTGACAACATCACCAGCATCAAATTCCTCTTAATAGCTATAAGCAGGTGCCCTCCTTAAGTTGATGATTTTGGATCAAGTGTATAGCAAAACATAGCCACTACGTTAGAAGAGCTATCAGAACACAAAAGAGACCAAAAAGTGCTCATTACATGGTCATGTCTCCCATTCCTAAGGCCTCCTTTATTTTATATAGGTTTTTATAGATGCACCATAGAAAGCATTCTGTCTGGATGCATCACGGTTTGGTATAGCAACTGCTCTGCCCAGGACAGTAGGAAACTACAGAGAATTGTGAACACAGCCCAGTCCATCTACCATCTATTGACCGCAAATATAATTCTTGCAGCCGCCATAACCAAAGACATCTCCCACACCGATTATAATCTCTTCCATCAGGCAGAAGATATAAAAGCTTAAACATACATATCAACAGATTCAGGAACAGCTTCTTCCCTTTTGTTATTTGACTTCTAAATAGATGGTCTCAAATTTTAAATTTAAATGTTAATCTCTCTCTTTGTGTGCCTTCTCTGCAGCCGTAACATTGTATTTCTCGCTCTGTTCTGTTACTCTAATGCACTTTGTATGGTATGATCTGTCTATATTGCATGCAAAGCAAAACTTTTCACCGTACCTAGATACATGTGATGATAATAAATCAAATCAAATCAAAAATCCTGATATATATACCCTGCTTACTCCATTACTGAAAGAAAGTCTCAGGTCCAAAGCAGGCACGTAGTATCTGGATTGAGCTGGAGTCTGCAGAGATCTAGGATAAATCTCCAGGACGCTGCAGCCATTCCCCTAGGAGAAAAATCATCGTCGTATTAACAATGTAATTGTTCCTAACAAAGGTTCTTTGGACACCTTTGCTTACTTTTCAGAAAAATCCTAAAGATTGGCAGAAATGTCAGGCTCAAAAACAATAATACTGTCAGGGTGTTTCACCTTGTGGGGCTTTTCTTTAAAGAAAGTTGCTTCATGCAATGTTGGTGTCACTATCTATGCTATCATTTATTACCCATCACTACTTGCCCAGAGTGCTGTTACAAGACAATCCCATTGTAGGCCAGACAAGGTAAGGATGGTAGATTTCCTTCCCTAAGTGACATTAGTGACCAGATGGATTCTTAATGACAATTGAACATGATGATGTGGTTGCCATGAGGCCAGCTTTTTATTCAGATAGTTATTGAATTGGAATTTTACAATTTGCATGATGTGATTTAAACCCATTTCCCCAAGACACTAGCGTGGAGAATTACTAGTGCAGTGACTTTATTATATTACCACTGCCACCACCTTGCTCCAATCACTGTGCTTCCCTGTTTGTCACAATGTATGCCTGGTATGCCCATTGTTACTTCTTGAACCGGAGCACGTGGTTTAAAAATTTAGGGATCTCCCATTTAAGACTGAAAGGAAAAGTTTTTTTTCTCTGTGATTTGTTAGTGTTTGGAATTCTCTTCCCCCCAAGAGCAGTGAAGGCTGGGCTGTTGACTATATTCAAGGATGAGATTGACAAATTTCTGACAAGGAAATCAGGGAACACGAGAGTGGATTGCAGGAGTTGTGGATAAAAGCAGGAAAATGGAGTAGAGAACACAATCAGATCAGCCATGATCACATTGAAATGCCTACTCCGGGTTCTGGTTCTTTTGTTAGGAAATTGGAGTTCAAAACAGAAAATTCTTGTCCTTTAGCAAGACTCTTAATGTCTAATTGGTTACCTGTCTCATTGTGGTGGTCAAAATTGTCGGCTTCAATCATTCCATGACTAAAATGGGCAAATGTAGGAACAGTGTTGGGGAACAGTCCAACTATACTGGCTGTAACATTGTATTCTTCGCTCTGTTCTATTATCCTAATGCACTTTGTGTGTTATGATCTGCCTGACTGCACACAAAACAGAACTTTTCACTGTACCTAGGTACTTGTAACAGTAATAAATCAAATCCAGTCAAAAATCCTGATATATAGCCTATTCACTTCATTACTGAAAGAAAGTTTCAGGCCCAAAACAGAAGCATAGGATCTTGTATTGAGCTGGAATTTCCCCTCCTGTCTGCCTTCCTTCCAGACCTCAACAGGGCCCAAAAATCCTGCCCTGTGTTTCAAAAGTGGTTAATTGTGGTGTTCTGCGGTTGTGATAGGGGCTGTAGAAATTCAAACCTTTCTTTAATTTTTTCAGAACCAGGACTGGAGTAAGTATGATGAGAAGCTGTTACAAGCTGTGGACAGCAGTGACCCTGAGAAAGTGGCTTCCCTCCTCAACAAAAGGACTCTTCTCACGACAAAGCTCGACCCTGAGGGACACTCAGCGTGAGTCCCAAATTGTCTTTCTCGATTTGATATTTGGGCTATTTGGTCTTCAACATGGTCAAGAAAAGCTGGAAGATGAGCTTCCTGTTTCAGAAAGAAAAGAAAGCACAAGACTCAGCTTTATCCGTGCTTCCCAATCTTAGCAATCGTCAGCAGAAATTTCGCCTTCCCACAATTTTGCCAGTGAACCATTAATGAGGGAAATAAACACGGCAGTTGAAAATCTAGCTGATTGCAATTAATAGCGAGTGCATTGGGATCACAGTCATGAACACTCTTTAGCCATTATATTGCCTCTGTTGGCAAAGGTCAGTCTGATGATGTTGTATTATCTTGGGAAAGGCAGAACAATGTAGCACTTTGGGACCCATTCCCATTGCCTATTGGCTGAGAAAATCTGAGACCACATGGGTTTGTGCCACCGTCTAGTGCTCTGCATCACGAGCACCTCAGTCAGCACTGGCAGTCAGATCCCCAGGAGACTGACACTGTTTGGCATGCAGTACTATACTTCGGGTAACATAGGTAAGGAGGCAGTGGGGAGCCGGTTACACTGGCCACCCCCTCCATCCCAGCACTTTTCTTGTGAGGAACCCAATGTTTGTCTGTTCCCTGTGAGGTGATGATGAGTCTGTGACCAGGTCAAGGCCAGAAGGTGTAATTTGATGTGGGAAAGTGACTGCTCAAGATGGGAATTTATCTCCTGAGCTTCAGTTAAAAGATGGGTCACAGCACCATGAGTAGGCTCAAGTGTGAGTTCCTCTCTTGCTATAATGAGTGTCAATGGGATAAATATAGACTCTTGTATTGCTGTAAAATTCATGTAAATTGATTATTCTTTCATGAAGTTAACATGGATGGTTAGGCCAGCATTTTTTTCATTTCAAAAATATACTTTATTCATAAAAACATCTATGTATATAGTCACAAACGGAGTTCTATTTTGTACAGTAGCACATCAAGGAAACAAACAAACGTTGGAGTTTGACTCTATCCGAAAAACCAAAGACCTCTCTTACACATGCAAAACTATATTTACATAGATTTGAGGCACCGGGAGGGTCTGATAACTGAAGAGACTCTCATTTACCTTCAGCAGGAAGACCTTAGACAGTGCTCTTTCCCCACTGCGCCTTGGTGATAGCTGCCCCAAGCTTTAGTGCGTCCCTCAGCACGTAGTCCTGTACTTTGGAATGTGTCAGTCTGCAATATTCGGTCAAGGTCAACTCCTTGCTCTAGAAGACCAACAAGTTTTGGTAGCATTTATTGTCCATCCCTAATTCCCTGTAAGAGGGTGGTAGACTGTAGGCTGTTTTCTTGAATGGCTACAGTCACTCTTGTAGGTAGATAAGTTATAAGGTTGGAATGGCTTGATTCAGTTGAGTGGCCCAGTCTTGGCTCAGAATGGCTTTTGGATCATTTCATACTCATTGACAGGCCAGATTTAAATTTCAGCTTTATTACTTGAATAGTGAGATTTGAACCCATGCTTCCAAAGCCTTTGGATCGCCAGCCCAGTGCCATTACAATCCTGCCACCAATTCCCTGGGAAAAAAAGCCATGGCTCATGGTGCATCTTTTCACCATTGAAGTCAACGGGAGAGCACTGCCAATTCGCTGTCCCCCATTATCCACAATCTTACAGTGTGTGACATTAACAACGGGCATGGGAATGCATTTGTATGAAATTCTGTTCACTGTTTTTGAACAGAGGTGTTTAAACCCGGAATAAACAAGCCAAAACACTCATTAAAATAGGTGACATTGGAATGCTAAATGGGCAGGATGAGGTTAATGTTAGCCCCAGTGAAGAGACCCGAGAGAAATACATGCCCATCACCCACTGGTGTATGGATTGCTGTTTGCACCATTGTAGTGTGCTGCTCTCAAGATACACAGATAGCAAGACCTGGACATCAACCAGGTGTGCTGATAAGTGCCAAGTAACATTTGCATGATGCAAATGTCAGGCAATTATCATTTCCAACAAGAGAGAATTGAATCACCTTTCACTCAAGGATAGAGGGAGGAACTTAATCTTAGAGGCAGAGGATAAGGGTGAGATCCTAAATGAGTACTTTGCGTCAGTATTCACCCAGGAGAAGGATATGGAGGATAGTGAGATTTGTGTGGAGCATGCTAATATGCTAGGGCATTTTGAGATCAAGAAAGAGGTGTTGGGTATCTTGAAGAGCATAAAGGTGGATAAATCCCTAGGGCCTGGTGGTATCTACCCCACGTTATTGAGAGAGACAAGAAACAAGATTGCAGGGGACTTGACCAAGATCTTTACATCCTCGCTAGCCACTGGAGAGGTCCCAGGGGACTGGTGAAGAGCTAATGTTGTTCCTGTGTTCAAGAAGGGAAACAACGACAAATTATAGAAATTATAGACTGGTGAGTCTCGCATCAGTGGTTGGGAAAATATTGAATAGAATTCTTAGGGATAGGATTTACATGCATTTGGAAAAGCATGGCCTAATTATGGACAATCAGAACGGCTTTGTGCAGAGCTTGATTGAATTTTTTGAGGAGGTGATGAAGGTGATTGATGAGAGTAGATCAGTGGATGTTGATAAACATGGATTTTAATAAGGCTTTCGACAAGGCCCCTTATGGTTCGCTCTTCCAGAATATTAGGATGCATGGGATCCATAGGGACTTGGCTGTTTGGATTCAAAATTGGTTTGCCCACAGAACGCAGAGGATGGTGGTGGAAGGGTGTTTTTCCGGTTGGAGGTCCATGACTAGTGGTGTTCCACAGGAATCTATACTGGGACCTCTGCTGTTAGTGATATATATATATAAATGTCTTGGATGAAAGTGTAGATGAGTGGGTTAGTAAGTTTGTAGACTACACTAAGATTGGTGAAATTGTGGATAGTGTAGAAGGTTGTCAAAGAATACAGCCGGATATAGATCAGTTGCAGATATGGATGGAGAAACGACAGATGGAGTTTAATCCAGGCAAGTGTCAAATGCTGCACTTGGGGGATCAAAGGTTAAGGGAAATTATACAGTTCATGGCAGCACCCTTAACAGCGTTGTTGTACAGAGGAATCTTGGAGGTTTCCTATTCCATAACTCCCTGAAAGTGGCCACACAAATAGATAAGGTGGTGAAGTAGGTGTATGGCATGCTTGCCTTTATTAGTCAGGGGATTGAGTACAAGAGTCAGGAAGTGATGTTGCAACTTTATAAAAATTTGTTTAGACCACACTTAGAATATTGCATTCAATTCCAGTCGCCACATTACAGGAAGGATGTGAAGACTTTGGAGAGGGTGCAGAAGAGGTTTGCCAGGATGCTGCCTGGATGAGAGGGTATGAACTAAAAGGAGATGCTAGAAAAACTCCTGTTGTTTTCTCTGGAACGGCAGAGACTGAGGGAAGATCTGATAGAAGTCAAATGATGAGATGCATAGATAGGGTTGAGAGTCAGAATCATTTTCCCAGAGTTGAAATGCCTAATGCTAGGGGACATGTATTTAAGGTTAGAGGGGAAAAGTTCAAAGGAAATGTGAGGGGCAAGTTTTATTTTACACAGAGAGTGGAAGGTGCCTGGAACATATTGCCAGGGGTGATGGTGGAGGCAGATATGATGGAGCGTTTAAGGGACTTTTAGATAAGCTCATGAATATGCAAAGAATAGAGGGATATGGACCAAGGGCAGGCAGAAGGGATTAGTATAATTTGGCATCATGTTTAGCATAACATCGTGGGCTGAAGGGCCTGTTCCTGTGCTGTACTGTTCAGTGCTCCATGTTCACCTACCCTTAACATTCAATGGCTTTACCAGATTTAGATCCCCCACCCCCATCCATCTTCTCGGGTTACCATTGACTAGAACTTTATTTGGACGAGCCTTATAAATACTGTGGCTATAAGAACTATTAAATAGCTGGGAATTCTGTGGTGACTAATTCATCTCCTTACTCCCTGTTGTCTGTCTGCTATCTACAAGGCACAAGTCAAGAGTGTAATGGCATCTCTCCACTTGCCTGAATGAGTGCAGCTCCAACAGCACTCAAGAAGCTTGATGCCTTCCATCAGGCAAAGCAGCCCACTTGATCAGCACTCCATCTACCATCTCAAACATTCACTCCCTTTGTCAGTGATGTACAGTAGCAGCAGTGTGTACCGTCTACAACATACACAGCAGTAATTCACTAAGAGCCTTGACAGCACCTTCCAAACCCATGACCTGTACTGCCTTGTACAAAGATGACCGATGCACCGGAGAACCACTATCTGCAAGTTCCTTTTCAAGCCACTCACCATCCTGACTTGGAACTATGTCTCCGTTCCTCCGCGGTGGCTGTGTCAAAATCCTGGATCTCCCTGCTTAACAGCACTGTGGGTGTTTCAACATAGCAAAGACAACAGCCATCATCACTTTCTCAAGAGCAATTAGGGTTAGGCAATAAGTGCAGGCGTGAAAGAACCAGCTATATTCTATGAACAAATAATTTAAAGAAATTATATTTTGCTACACTTCATTCACGTTTAATTATTGTCATATTTATATTAGGCATTGTCCTTTACACAAATTTAGGATTGCTGAGATTGTTGTCCTGAAAGAGTAAAAGATTAAGGGGATATTTTATAAATGAGGAACTGAGTCAATGCAACCTTGCCAAAGCCTTGACCCGCTTCACAAAGTGTGCAGTCCAGAATCGAATACAACCCTCAGATGAGGCCTAGTCGGTTAAATGTAACTTGCTTTTGTACACGATGTATCTGCCAGTAACTCAGCAGCTCAGCTCATTTCTACCTCAGGTACCACCTGGCAGCAATGAAGGGCTACGAGGACTGTCTGGAGGTCATCCTGGCACATGGAGTGGACATCAATGCCCTAGATGGCTCAGGTAAACACTTCCCATTCTGAGGGTTTCACGGGTGAGGTGGACCAGTAGGATTTGGGTGGTTGGGGGTGTGGGAGGTATTCATTTTCTGAAGGGGACCAGAGTGGGTGGGGCGGGGGGGTAGTTGGGAGGGCTCCATGGCACCACCAGATGTTTACAAGTTTCTCTTGAGTCTCTGCAGGTTGATATCCCAAGTTCTGTCAGTCCATAGGGAGCATCTTGAGCAAATTATATTTCCTATTGTGCAAGTCACTGTCACACAATATCAGCACTTTTGTGACAGCTGCTTCGATGTAGCAGTGGTCAAATCAATTCCCTCATTCTGTTGTGTGTTCATGGTCAGTGAGGTGTTGGTTGCAGGGTGCCATTTCTACAGCTAGAAACTGGAGGACATGAGTCTGGGATGTGGGTCTTTTGTCCGTTCTTGTAAAGCCACCTGTCACACTTGCTAACTACCTTGTTCTGGGTGAGATTTTCCAGCCAGCCTCCAGTTTCCTCACATGATAGAGCACAGATTAATTAGCTAGAGGTAGGCACCCATTGGCAGCCCAAGATGCTAATACCCCTGACTGGCCTTCCCTATCTGTGTAGGTGAGCTGCACTCTATAAAGAGATTTTCTCCTTCCTCCCACACCTTATCACTCCCACATACAGTGGTGGCCTGACTTCCATTTCTGTCTTTTTATGAAAGTTTTTAAAAAGTAGCTCAATGGATGCCCTCCCAGGTACTACAGCATCCTATTGGAAGTTCTCTAATTGGCAGTTCAATTTCTGGAGTCTGCCCATTGCCCTGTAATTGAACAAAAGCCCATCTTCTTGCTTAGCATTTGCACACGTGAAAATCTTAACTGAAGTTTTCCCTTGTGTTTCTGACCTGTGCCCTGTTTCCCATCTTTGTTGCAAAATTTTATCAGAAGTGTCAACAGAGCCAACATGGTTTTGTGAAAGAAAAATTATATTTGACAGAATAAAAACCAGGAAAATCAGAATCAAAAACAGAAATTGCTGGAAAAGCTCAGTAGGTCTGGCAGCATCCATGGAGAGAAATCAGAGTTAATGTTTCAGGGTGAGTGTTGATTATACTTGACAAATTTGTTAGTGTGCTTCAAGGATCTAACAAGCAGTGTTGAAAAAGAGAAACTATTCAATAAGCTGCCACATAAAATGGAATTGTACAAGATACAAGCTCACAGTATTAGGGGTAAAGAAACAGCATGGATTGAGGATTGCGTATACACAGAAGACAGAGAGTCAGGATTAATGGGTCCTTTTCAGATTGGAAAGACCTAACTGGTAGAGTGTCACAAGAATCAGTCTGAGGGCCTGAGTTATTTACTCTCTATACGATAGAGAGGGCAGAGTGTAATGTATCCAAATTTGCTGACAATGCAAAATATGTGGGAGGGTTTGTTGTGATGATATAATGAAGCTGCACAGGGGATATAGATAGATTGAATGAATGGGCAAAAGCTTGAAAGTTGGAGTTTTATGTGGGAAAGTCTGAGTTCATACACTTAGGCAGGAAGAATCAAAAGGCAGACTATTACTTGAATGGATAGAGACTCCAGGAAAGTGCAGCACAGAGGGATCTGGGTGTTTTTATAGAGTCATACACTGCGGAAACAGATCCTTCGGTCCAACCAGTCCATGCCAAATGTAATCCCAAACTGAACTAGTCCCACCTGCCTGCTCCTGGCCCATATCCCTCCAACAATTTCCTCTTCATGTACTTATCTAAGTGTTTTTTAAAGGTAACTGTGCCCACCTTGGGAAGTTCATTCCACACGTGAACCACCCTCTGTGTAAAAAATTTGCCCCTCATCTTTTTTAAATCTCTCTCCTCTCACCTTAAAAATGTGCCCCCTGGACTTGAAATCACTTATGCGTAGGCAAAAGACACCTACCATTAACCCTATCTATATCCCACATGATTTTATAAACCTCTATAAGGTCACCTCTCAACCTCCTGTGCTCCAGTGAAAAAATTCCCAGCCTATCCAGCCTTTCTTTATAACTCAAACCCTCCATACCTGGCAACATCCTGGTAAATCTCTTCTAAATCCTCTCCATCTTAATAATATCCTTCCTTTGACAAGGCGACCAGAACTGGACACAGTAAGCCAGGAGAGGCCTCTCCTGTACAACCTCAACATGACTTCCCAACTCGTATACTCAAAAGTCTGAGCAATGAGGGCAAACGTGCTAAACACCTTCTTAACCACCCAGTCTTTGTGACGCAAACTTCAAAGAATTATGCACCTGCACCCCTAGGTCCTTTTGTTCTACAACGCTAACCAAGACCCTACCATTAATTGCATAAGTCCTGCCCCTGTTTGTTTTACCAAAATACAATACCTCGTGTCCATGAAACACAAAAAGTCACCTCCAGCAAGATGCCACCACCAGACACATATTCCTCTCCCCTCCTTGTCCGCCTTCCACAGGGACCATTCCCTCCGGGACACCCTGGTCCACACTTCCTTTAACCCCAACACCCCCCACAGCCCTACGGCACCTTCCCCTGTAACCGGCGAAGGTGCAGCACCTGTGCATTTATCTCCTCCCTCCCCAGTATCCAAGGGCCCAAACATATCTTCCAGGTGAAACTGCACTTCCCAGGATCTAGTCTACTTACTGCATTCATTACTCACAATGTGGTCTCCTCTACATGGGGAAACGAAGTGTAGACTGAGTGACAGCTTTGCAGAACATCTACATTCTTCTTGCAAAAAAGACCCTGAACTACCTGTTGCCTGTCACTTTAATGCACCACCCTGTTCCCTGGCCAACATCTCTGTCTCTGGCTTGCTACAGTGTTCCAGCGAAGCTCAGCGCAAGCTGGAAGAACAACACCACATTTTCCACTTGGGGACCCTACAGCCCTCTGGGCTCAATATCGAGTTCAATAATTTTAGGGCCTAAACTCTAGGCCCAGCCCTGTACCCACAGACCAGGCCTTGTTATCACATAGCCTGCCATTATACACTACCTATTGTTAGTCACTAATAGTCCTTATTAACAACTATTCACGCTCCCAGCCTAATCGTTATCAACTCCTTTGTCTGTCCAACTGTTCTTCTCTCTCTTTAGGCTCTATCCTAGAATTTACTTCCTACCCCACCCACCTCCCTATTTTCTGCATATAAACTGATGTTTTCCCAGCCACCATCAGCTCTGAGGAAGGGTCACCGGACCGGAAATATTAACTCTGTTTTTTCCTTCACAGATGCTGCCAGATCTTTTCCTGTTTTTCCAGCAGCGTTGTTTAAGTGTCTGGCCTGTCTAATTAAGAAGATAGACCATTAGTGAGTCTAAACAAAAGAAGTAATTGTCTAAAGTAGCAAGTTAGTTTATTGATGGTTGATATTAATAGTTGCGGTTAACATTAGCTTGCTAGGCACAATTATGAGAGAATTATTGGGAGCTGTATGGAATACATCTGCTCCTTTTAGTTATTTATGCAGAATTCAACTGTCTTCCCACAAAGACTGTGTCACATCATGGATTGGGTGTAGCTCAGTGTAGCATGAACATTAAACTCCTTCAGAATAGAAATGTTCAGATTAAAGAAGGAGTTTGGAGAGTCAATAGGGTAAAAGAGCTATCACTGTGATAATAAGAGGGGTTTTAATTTAAAATCATTCCCAAAAGGACCAGAAGTGGAGAGAGAGGAAATGTCTTTTATAGTGAGTAATTACTGCTATCCTGCATTTAAGCAAGGTTTCAGGTGGTTGAATAAATAGGTTAATGACAATGTTCCAAGAGTGCAAAGGAATTTAATGCAACAAAAGTGCACTAAAAATAGCAGACTGAGGAGATGAAATGGTAGACATGTTCTTTTTATGGGATGCTATTGGAGAACGAACTCCATGGGCAGGGTTTGGTGCTGATCTTGGGCAGGAGCCTGAGGTGGTGACGCAGTGAATTTCCCGACACTGACTGGTGCAACGGTTTCTCACCCCATTGTCCTACACTTGGCCATTCTCCTGGACACTGGGTCAGATATGGAAAGGCCACCCATCCTCAAGTGGCAAATAGTTTGTTAACTCTCTTAAAGGCTGGTTTGATGAAAGGGTGACCAGAATTTTCCTGTGCCCCTCACCACTCCAGCACAACAAATGCTTCTCAGTGGCAGTCTTGGGGTGGGGAGAGCAGGGCTCCAGAATCACTTTCAGGCCTACCCCACAGCCTCCGTGCCTACTTGTCCCAGCTGTGGCTGTAATGGTCAATTGTAGCTGTGGCCATTTCTTTTTGTTAGATTTTTAAACTGTGCTAAGGGCCTCTCACATTAGAGGTGTCCTCTGTCTCACCTACCATGGAGCTGGCTGCAACCCTTTTCTAAGTGGGTGGGTTTCCTGTTGACCCTCTAGCTTTGGGATGGTATCCACAATCCTCCATTGGGTCATGACCCTTTGGTTACTAATTGGCCAATCCTGCAAAGAGTCACCATTGGGTGATAATTCCTGACACCCTGTGGGTTAGGACCCTGTTTGATCCCTGATCTAAGGATATGGGGTAGGCCATTTAGTACTGAGATGAGGAGAAATATCTTCACCCAGAGAGTGGTCAGCCTGTGGAATTCTATGCTTGAGAAAGCGGTTGGGGCAAAAACATTGAATACTTTCAAGACGTAGTTAGATATAGTTCTTAGCTGTAGAGGGATCAAAGAATATGGGGAGAAAGTAAGAACAGGCACTGAGTTAGATGATAGTCTGTGATCACACTGTATTCTTTATTTAATGAGTAATGGGTTGAAGGCTTAGGGAAAGTGACGTTGATACCAAGATGAGATCAACCATGATTGAATTCAATGGCGGAGCAGGCTTGAGGGGCTGAATTATCTACTCCTGTTCCTGTATTTCTATATTTTTATGTTTCAACCAAGAAATCTTCACAATCTCTTCTATCTGGTGTGTTTGTCTGATTATAATCTAGGGTTGAATGCGTTACATTTGGCAGCAAAATATGGCAACCATCAGTGTCTGAGGAGACTTCTTCAGGTATGAAAACTCTGAGATAATCTTTGTTTATATTGGAGGGGAAGCAGCTAAGAAAACCTATAATCTGTGTTTATGAAGCACAAAAGATGGGTTAAGGCCTGGAGCAGATCAGCCATGAACTTACTGAACTGTGGAATAGGGTTGACGAGCTCCTATTCGTGTTCTTATTTCTTATGTTCTTATGTTATTCTGAGAGAGAGTCAAAAATCACATGACACCAGGTTATAGTCCAACAGGTATATTTGAAAACGCAAGCGTGGAGCTGAGCTCCAAAACCTTGCGTTTTCAAATAAACCTGTTGGAACTATAACCTGGTGTCACGTGATTTTTGACCTTGTCTATCCCAGTCTAACACCGGCATCACCGCATCATCCTGAGAGAGGCCATTTCCAAAATTACAAGCAGGCCTGTGTTCCGGAATGAGTCAGAAATCATACAGATTTCCAGATGTAAGGCAACAGCCTACCTCAGGCCCAGACCTCAACAGTAACACTGTGGACACTTGCACAAGGTTTATTACCTGTTCATGTCCTTTTCTTACTTTGGATATTCTGTGATTGCTAATAATCAGAATTCCCAGATTTCGGTGCAACTGACCTTTCCCTTGTGCCACAATTCTTACTAATGTCTGGCTGTATTGCATGGTCACACACAATGTTATTTATATAATTGTTTGGACAGATTCTGATGTGCTCTATTTGTTTTTAGCTTTGATCCCTGTATATTCACTTGCATCAAGCCATATTCACCTATCATCCTTGTGCCTACTGAATGTCACTGCCTCCTGATTTCATGACCTTTTCCAAATCCCTTCATGGCCTCCATCCTCTCAATTTCTGTAGCCCTCCTCCAGCCATGTCATATCTGTGCGATTCTGAGTTTCAGGTCACTTATGCTCCTTTAATTTTGTTTGCCCCACTTTTGAAGGCCTTGCCTTCAGCTACACACTAAACTCTGTATTTAAACGAACAGCAGTAATCAGAACCAGGCCTTTCAACTCCTAAAACCCATTCTGACATTCAATGAGAGCTGATTGTTGCCTTAACTCCACTTTCTTGCATGTACAACCATCACTTTCTCAACAATCAAAAATCTGTGCAATGCAAGCTTGATTATATTCAACTACCTAGCCTCCATTGATCTCTGGGAAAGACAATTCCAAAGACTAACAATCTCTGAAAGAAGAGAATGCCTCCTTTTCTCCATTGCAAATGGGAACCCTTTTATTTTCAAAATATTCCACCCAGTGCCAGACATCCCACAAGGGAAAACATCCTCTTAGCATCCACCCAGCAAGCTCCTTCAGGATCATCTTTGGCTGAATATCATCACTTCTCATTCTTCTAAACTCCAGTGGCTATGGTACCAAACTGTTAACACTTTTCTCATGAGGCAGCCCTTCAACCCATGGATCAGCTAAATGAACCCTCTCAAATCTCCTTTCAATGCTAGTATACCCTCCCTTAAGTAAAGGACCAAACTATAGACATTAGTCTAGATTCTTCCCCTAAAGACTGTCTGTCCCTTTATCTTTTTTTTAGTCATTCTTCAAATCTACCACTTTAATAATGTTTTTAGTCACTTGTCCCGGGATTGCCATCTGTGACTCAGTGTCAAATCTTTGTCTGTTAATGTTCCTGTGAATCATCTGGGACTTTTCACAATATTAAAGAGGCTACATAAATGCAATTTTTTACTGTTATGGTAATCGTCCTCACATTGTGTCAGTATCTCTGAAGGTTCAGGAATCATACTGTTCATCATTTGGTGTTTGGGTGGATTGTTTTAATATAAAGCTGAGAGAATGATGTGCTGAGATAGTAGGAACTGCAGATGCTGGAGAATCTGAGATAACAAGGTGTAGAGCTGGATGAATACAGCAGGTCAAGCAGCATCAGAGGAGCAGGAAGGCTGACGTTTCGGGCCTAGACCCTTCTTCAGGCCTGCTGTGTTCATCCAGCTCTACACCTTGTTATCTAGGATGATGTGCTGGTCAGCCTGAGTGCATAATTCTTTCCAGTTTTCATTTCCATTGATTTTTTTTGTCTAAGACAATGAAACTTCTGTTCTTAAGACCCCAAAGGAATGAAAAGTCAAGTTGAGTTTGGTGCCACATTATCTCCACCATCAATTCATTCTTTGAGCAATAAAGGACAAAATTCTCCAGGGTGTATTACACGAGTGGGCACCAGGCAAAGGCAGGCCAGAAACTCTGGACTCAGGACTCTGAAATCCCTTCCCATTTACACATGCCTTCCAGCAATGAAACATCCTGAAAAATGACCACTAGGTATAGATATAGGAGGGCTGTCATGTTCAGTGAGAGAGTCACACCTTGCTGTTTGTGTAATGATTGTCACCACTTAATCTCTAGTTGAATGTAAGAACCCAAGAGTAGCAAGAGTATCACCAAGAATAGGCCTTTTGGCTGCTCAGAATTATGTTAAATCTGTTTGTGTTTTGAACGCCACATTCCTATCTACACCAGATTATCTTTGATACACCTGCTGACAGGAATCCGTTCACCTATGTGTTAAAAATATTTATTAACCTCTAAGGTTTTGGAGCAGATTTGTAGCTCGGGTTGTGGGTGTTGAGGTTATTGAAGTTGGTTGGCTCGCCGAGCTGGTTTCTTGTTTCACAGACGTTTCGTTACCATGCTGGGTAACATTCTCAGTGCAGCCCCCGATGAAGCGTTGGTGTGTTTTCCTGCCTGGTTTTTAAACTCTGGGGTCGGTTGAGATGGATTGCCTCACTTCCGGGTTTCCTTCGTAGTGGTGTGTATATGGGGTCGAGTTCAATGTATTTATTAATAGCATGCTTTGTGGAGTGCCATGCTTCTAGGAATTCTCGTGCTGGTCTCTGCCTAGCCTGTCCCAGGATTTTGGTGTTGTCCCAGGCGAAGTGGTGGTTCTCCTTGTCCATGTGGATTGAGATGAATGACAATTGGTCGTGTCTTTTTGTAGCCAGTTAGTGTTCATGTACCCTTGTTGTTAGTTTCCTTCCTGTTTGTCCGATGTAGTGTTTCTCACAGTCTCTGCAGGGGATCTTGTCAATGGCATTGGTCCTGTCCATGGCGGGGAGTGGGTCTTTAGTTCGGCTGAGCAGTTGTCATAGGGTTGATGTGGGCTTGTGTGCCACTCTGATGCCCAGCGGTCGTAGGAGTCTTATGGTGAGTTCCAATGTGTTCCTGATGTAGGGTAGTGTGATGAGTGTGTCGGGGCGTGTAGTATCTTCCTGATGTTGTTAGTGTAGGCAACTTCTGACCCAATTCTTTGGATATCCATTATCCTTGTAAACCTGGAAGAGGTATTCTTCTTCCTCTTGGCGTAGTTCCATGTTGCTGCAGTGTGTTGTTGCCCTTTTAAATAGTGTTCGCACGCAGCTTCGTTTGTGTGTACTGGGATGGTTACTGTTGAACTTCAGTACCTGGTCTGTGTGTGTGGCTTTTCGGTGTACTTTCGTTTGCAGTTCCCCATTTGTCTTGCACTCTACCAAAAGGCACAACCAATACTCACTCATTTCAATCCACATGGACAAGGAGAACCACCACTTTGACTGGGACAACACCAAGATCCTGGAACAGGCTAGGCAGAGACCGGCACGAGAATTCCTAGAAGCATGGCACTCCATGAAGCATGCTATTAATAAACACATTGAACTTGACCCCACATACATTCCACTATGAAGGAAACCCAGAAGTGAGGCAATCTATCTCAACGGATCCCAGAGTTTAAAAACCAGGCAGGAAAACACACCGATGCTTCATCGGAGGCTGCACTGAGGATGTTACCAAGCATGGTAACGAAACGTCTGCGAAACAAGAAACCAGCTCGGTGAGCTAACTAACTTCAACAACCTCAATATTCATTGATCCCTTGTGATGCAGAGAATTCCAAAGTTGCACAACTTTCTGGGCAAAAAGAAAGTCCTAATCTCTCTCCTGAAAGTGTGACCCTAATTTTAAATCAGTTAATCCCAGATCTGCACTGACTCAAAAGAGGAAATATCCTTTCGCTCCCACCTTGTTGCTAACAACATACAGGATGTTATACACTTCAATCAAGTCACTCCTCACTCCTCTAAAATCCAGTGGAAACAAGGCCAACTCCCTCATAGGACAATGATCTCTTTACAGGTATCAATCTGGCAGTCCACCTCTGAACTACCTCCAATGCTTTTACATCCTTCCTTAAATAGACCAAACTGTACACAATATTCAAGATGTGGTCTCACCACTATCCTGTATAACTGAATTATAACATCCTTACTTTTATGTTCAATTTGCTTTGAAAAAAAAATCGCATTCCATTAGTCTTGTTGATTACAGGCTATACCTGCATACTGTCTGGTCTCATGTAGCAGAATACCCAAATCCCTCTGCACCTTGGAATTTCAGTCATTTCTCCATTTAGTAATAGCTTGCCTTTTTATTCTTCCTGTCAGGGTGAACAACTTCACATTTTCCCACATTATATTCCATTTACTAGATTGTTGTTCACTCACAAAACATATCGATATCCATCTTCAACTTCCTTATGTCTTCTTTCCAATTTGTAGAATGTTGATTCTTTAGCACATACCTACGGGATTGCACTTCCACATCTTTCCAATCAGACCAAGGCCTGTTTATACATTCTCTCTGTTTTCTGCCAACAAGTCAATCTTTTGTCAACACTAATATATTAACTCCAATGCCATGAGCTTTTATCATCCCCAATAACCTTTGATATGGCAGCTTATCAAATGCCTGCTGAAAATCCAAATGCAGTACATCTGCAGACCTTCCTTTATTCACAGCACATGTTCCTCCTTTGAAGAACTCCAGTTAATTGGTTATACATGATTTTGCTTTGATGGAATCATGCTGACTCTTCCCGAATATCTGGAGTATTTCTAAATATGCAACTAAAATCTGTTTAATGATGAATTCTAACACTTTCCCCGTGACAGAAACTAAGCTAACTGAGCTATGGATTCCTGTTTTCTGTCTCCCTCCCTTGAATGGAGGAATTATATTTGCTACTTTCTTGTCTGGCAGGACCTTTCCTGGATCTTGGAAACTTTGGAAATTAAACCAATGCATCAACTACCTCATAAGCAAACTCTTTGAAAGCCCTAGGATGAAGTCTATCTGGATCTGGAGCCTTGTCAGTCGCAGCTCTATCAGTTTGCTCAGTAATACTTCCCTTCACTAAGTTCCTCTCTCCCTTCACATCCTGATTTATAGCAATTACTTTGTTTTTGTGTCCTTTATAGAGAAGACAAAAGCAATATATTTTTTCATTTTATCTGCCATTTCAATATTGTCTACTGTTAACTCCCCATTCCCACTTTCTAGAGGATCCAACACTTTACTTACACTTTTATTTAAGTACTCCTGTAGAAACTTTTGCTGTGTTTTTACGTTCCTAGCTAACTTCCTCTCATAGTCTAATTTTTTCCTCCTGATTAACATTTTCATCATTCTCTACCATTCTTTACATTCTAACCAATCACCTGACCATCTTTAAGCAATCAAATGTTTCCTCCAACAACAACAAAAACCTAAACGTTAAGAGCAGGGATTGGGCCATTTTTTCCCTCAAGCCTGTTCTGCCATTTAATTGGGTCATGGCTGCCCTGACTGTGCCTTTAACTGCAATTTCCTGCCTACCCACCCCATACTCTTTGACCCTTGTTAGTCAAGAGTCTGTTCACCTCTGTCCTCAAGATATCATTGACTCCACCTCCAACGCTGTCTGGGGAAGTGAGTTCCACAAACTTACAACCTTCTGAGGGAAAAAAAATCTATCTCTATCTTAACAGAGAGATCTCTTCTTTCAAAATGTTGTTTCCTAGTTCTTGTCTCCCCCAAGAAATAACTCCACAGAGGCCAATATCCTGTTACCAAGTCACCCTTTATTTACATGTGGATAGTGCTTGAAACTGATCCAGCTCCCTCAGAGCCAGCTCTCAGAGTGAACAGAATCCCTGACACTCCTGTTCTTATCTGTCAGCCAGGGCTCCCTGATTGGATCAGATTAACAGACCCAATCAAGGAACTCAGATTCTACGAGGTCCACCTGGCTGACCTTGTTACAATCAACCCACAATGGGAAACATACTTTCGGTATCCACCCTAATAGGCCTCAAATCCCCTGATATTAAGTACAGAGCTCTGAATAGCCACATTCAAATCTCGATGAATGTGTGTTTTACGTAGTGAAGAGTGGATCTAGTTTGGATAGAACACTCACTATTGGCTCACCTTGGCTAATTCAAAGCCATATATAAGTTACACAAATACTTGGTTCAGGGTCGCAGTCCCACTTAGAGATCACACAGAGGCTGGGAGAACCTGATGTTGCTGTTAAATGAATTAACAGTCCAGTATCACTAACAGGACAATATCACTGAAATTGATGTGCAAAAGGCATTCATTGGGAACAGCTTGGAGCACAACACTAAGGTTATTAAATAAACGGGCTTAGGATCAAACAAACAAAAGGAACAGCATAGGACCACTGTTACTATGATGTGCTGTTGTGGGGTAAGGTGGGGAGTGGGAAGCAGGGTAGGTTCATGGTTGGAATTGTGGTGGTGTTGTGAGAAGAGGGAAAGTTAGAGAGCAAGTGGGGGCAGATGAGGACATTTCTGTGTGTACGTGGAGAGGACATTCACACAACACTGAAGATGAGACAACACTGAAACAGATGGAATTGATGGCAGAAAGCAAATATTCCACATAAGACAAGCAGAATTGTCCCTAATTTCTATCCAACATTTATCTCATAATCAACTTCACTAAATCAGGTTACCTTGGTCACTATCTTTGCTGTTTGCAGAATCTTATGCAAAAAGGCATATCCTTCATTGCAATTGTATTTACATCTTCTGCCTACTTCATTGGCTGGACACCCTTGTGTTGTGAAAGGTGCTTTATAAACACAAGTCTTTCTTTCTTTAGGAAAAATGCACAGTTAATGCAGTGGACACTTATGGGAGGATTGCATTACATCATGCAGGTCAGTGCCTTTCACAGTTGTCATAGTTTTATTGCGGAATGACATGCTTAACAGTAGTAACCATGGAGTTGCTGGGACATGGCTCGAGAGCGACACGTCATATTTGCCATTCTCAATTTGGAGTAGAGTCAAGGACAGGACAAAGAGACATCATCATTTTTTTCTCCCTTGACTGTGGTCAAGTACCCACAGGTTAAGAGGGCACCTCCTGCTCAACTGGGCACCATGCAAAGGAAAAAGTGCTTCTAAATTGTCCTGAGCACAGTCTTGGGTCTAGACCTTATCCTGATCCTGCTCTAAGTGGATTGATCCTGATCTTAATCCTGGATTTCCACAGGGATAGCTGGGGTTCCTCATGAATAGTTTACTGACGTTGAAAGACAGGCTGCCTTCTCATTCAAAGTTAAGTCCTGGAAGGGTGGCTCTTTGTTGAGGTGGCTCTTAAGTGGGTAGGGAGGGTAAGGCATTGAAATTAATTCTGTTTTGTTTTGTTTAACGTATATGACAAAAGGACTGAAAGAAGTGGAAACCAAAAGAACTGCGGATGCTGTAAATCAGGAACTTCAATGCACCACCTCGCTCCCTGGCCAACATCTCTGTCTCCTGCTTGCTACAGTGTTCCAGTGAAGCCCAACGCAAGCTGGAGGAACAACACCTCATTTTCTGCTTGGGGACCCTACAGCCCTCCGGACTCAATATTGAGTTCAATAATTTTAGGGCCTAAACTCTCCCATGTCCCCCCACCCCCACCCCACCCCACACACCAGGCCTTGTTACCACATAGCCTGCCATTACACACCCCCTGTTGTTAGTCACTAACAGTCCCTATTAACAACTATTCACCCTCCCAGCCTGATCGTTAGCAGCTCCTCTGTCTGTCCAACTGTCTTTCTCTCTCTTTGGGCTCTATCCTATCGTTTTACTCCCTACCCCACCCACCTCCCTATTTTCTGCACATAAACTGATGTTTTCCCAGCCACCATCAGATCTGAGGAATGGTCACCGGACCCGAAATGTTAACTCTGTTTTCTCCTTCAGAGATGCTGCCACCTGCTGAGCTTTTCCAGCAACTTTGTTTTTGTTCCTGAAAGAATTGGAGATGTGTACATTTATTCTCTCACTCACACTTGAAGGTCAAACACATTCAGCAGATGCATTGTTTTTTTTCCTGCAACATCAGTGATGTTTTTCAGATGAAGAGGCTGAAAGAGCAAATTCCAGAGGGACAACCCAGCATTGGTTGCTTTGAACTTCTCTAGGAATTTCAAAGGGTTGCCGTCTGTGTATCTCAGGATCGTTCTGTGCCATTGTTGAACGCAGATTTCAAAATGCTGGAAAGCTAGTAGGAGAGTTGTAGTTTCTTTCTTGACCTTTTCTGATGTTTGTTGAGTTTTCTCAATAGCCAATTGGACAGTAGATGCCAAAATCATTTTTCTGGAGGAGGCTGGTTGCAACACCCAATCAATAGCATCAACGGACACTCTAAAACATTTCCTGAAGCCTGGGCTGGTTAGTATGGGCTTGGTCACCATGTTGGCTTTCAATTTTGTAAAACTCTTGTTGCGGCTCTGTCCACACCAGGTGTGATTTCTTTCCAGTGCATCTGGCAGTGGGATAGGTAGGGTGCTGAGGTTTGGGACAACATTTTGGTAGAACCTGCGCAGCCTTAAGAAATACATGATTTTCCTCTGGCTTTTGGGAGTGGGAAAATCAATAGGGACGCATACTTTGGCTTCATCTCCTGGACTGTCACTGTAATTTATCAGATCATAGAATCCCTACAGTGTAGAAGCACACCATTCAGTCCATTAAGTCCACACTGACCCTCTGAAGAGCATCCCACCCAAACCCACCTCCCTTAGCCCCCCCTACCCTTTAGCCCCGCATTTCCCATGGCCAATCCACCTAACCTGCACATCTTTGGACTGTGGGAGGAAACTGGAGCACCTGGAAGAAACCCACACAGATACAAGGAGAATGTGCAAACTCCATGCAGGCAGCCAACTGAGGGTGGAATCAAACCCATGTCCCTGGTGCTATTAGGCAGCAGTGGTAATCATCGAGCTACTGTGTCACCCTCTTTCAGATGCACTGTACAATTGCTGAATATATCTACCGCCTATTTTTTTAACCCCTGAAAGTTTGCTCAGGCATTTTTACAACCTTGTACATGTATAGGCCACCTGTAGTGACAAAGGCCGTGATTTCTGTTGCTCTTGGGCTCTTGCCTGCATCTTTTAATAGGTTGATTTTACACAGTAGGTCAAATGGCCCTCCTCCTCTATGCTATCCTCCATGTATAGGGTTGGATATGAGTCAGTCCTCATCACTGTATTTACTGTCCAGTAGTAACTGTCGGGCCAGTTTGCTCCATTTACCTTTGGATCTAGTACAACGGGGGAGCTCTAGCTGCTCTGGCTGGGCTCCACTATATAGTGGTTCAGAATGTGCTTGATTCCCTACCTGCCCTGGACCATCCTTGAGGGGACTCTGCTGGTAGGAGATTGTTTTTTATTGGTGGGACTGCTTCCACATGCACGTTATGACCTGACGGTGGGCTGTGCCACAGCTGATCCCTGTGGATTCCTCTGAATTTCCGAGCAGGGTGACTGGTGCTGTGCGGTCGGGGTGTTAACAGGGCTTTTTGAGTCTTCCCGTTCTGGAGTTTGCCGGCCTGATAGGGGGTTTCTGCCGCCAGATCCCCCAGTCCCTCCTTCTCACCGACTCCTCAGATGTGCCTATCCTCTTGTAAACATTCACCGGTTGACTGGGCTCTGTGTTTTGTTCTAGGTTCCCTGCTCTAGAATATCTCCTGTGGCAGTCACATTGCAGTGGAATTTCAGGGGTACTAACTTACCCTGTTCTGTAACTTTGGAGAAGGGTATACCTTGAAACTGTTCCACATGATTTTTGAGGCTGCTGCCCTCAGCTGACTGTCCACCTCCTGCTGTACTGCCATGCAGCTCCTCAACTCGGTGAGGCATCTCCATCATGATCTGAGAACCCATCTGGAAACTTCCTCCCTGCAAATCTGGAAAGATGGTGCTGGCTAGCCAGAGCTCCAGCTCAACCAGCAGGAAGCATGTTTATTTCCTTATAAGTCCATGTGCCTGATTTGGGACTTTTCTATGTCCCTATTCTGCCCATGCCTCCTGGGTCACCCTTTCTCATCCTGTGGCTCTTCAACTGGGCAAGGCAGTTCCCCTCCCAGTGGCAGGACCTGTCTATGGGTGGATATTCCCAATTTGTTCTGATCCCGGGTGAAGGAAGCACCTGGCTCCCCTTTATTCAGCATTGGTTGGAACAGGCTAGTTTAAACTAAAGGGTCTCACTGTTGTGGATACCATTGCCAATTCCAATGTATTTATGCCTTAAAAGCAGCCAATCCAGGCTTCCTGGATTTAAAGAAAGGATGACTTTATTTAAAACAGGAAGAAAAATAAAACACACACGCACACAGATTAGAAATGAGACGTGAGAAAAAACGCAGTTTATATAGACATATTAATCAGTCTTTGGTTTGTCCAAATGGCTTAGACACTGGAACATTGCAGCCATGAAGCTGGATGATTCTGGCAGTGTTAACTCTGCAGGTTGAGCAACCATTTTTGAGATGCTAGGTTTTGCAGATTAGCTGTCAGGAGTTGTCTACATTCCTGTTTGACTGTGGCTTTTGACTGGTGACTTAGTTCCAACAAATAGCCAGAGAGAAATAGTCCTCATCATTGAAGATGGCTGTGCAGTGAAAACAAATAATTTCTTCTTTGCAGTATCCTGGATCTCTGGGTGAGGCAAATGCTTTTTGAATTAACTAGGTATTCTCTCTGTGGTTGTCTTTCTGGTGAACTAGACATTTTCAAATCCTCGAGCATGACAGATTGCTGCTCTTTTAGCATTTATCTCTGTCACTGGTACTGATAATTTTACCTTGGAAGATGAAGAGTTGAAATGTTGCTCTTGAACTTGTGTCATATGATGATCCAACGTCAAAATCAAATCTGCAGAATTATTTTGTTCACTGCAACATTTTGCGCTTTGAACAACTTCAATGAGCTCAAGTGGGCTACTTTGTTCCTTCATATTCTTAGCATTTGCTTCTCTTGCCAAACTTTGCTTTTTTTGTCTCCTGATCTGTCATCAGTGAGTGTGGGAGTATTTTCTCAACCTGAAAATCCTTACAATCACATATTTCAAAATGAACAATGAGATAGCCAATTTGTTTTGATATCTCTGCCCACCACACCACTTACTGAGCCTTGGATGTACACCTAACAATATCCAAGTGTCCCAGGTGTATCCTTTCCAATGCATCTCAATGGAGGAGAGCTGCAATAACTAGCCTCTGGTCATACTCTATTTAGACATTTATGATTACTGTTGTTGCTCAAAGTATGGTTCTCAGCCAATTCCCTGGGCTTTTGGCCCGGCCACCCTCCAACACAATAAAAGATAAAGTCACTACAGTCCTACCAGACCCAAGGGCTGTGCTCTCATTAGCAAGAGACAACTAGTGATGGTTTAATCTGAGGATTTACAGAACTTTAGCTCGGCCACACTTGGAATATTGCATATAGTTCTGGTCACCACACTACCAGAGGGACGTGGATGCTTTGGAGAGGGTACAGAAAAGATTTACCAGGATGTTGCCTGGTCTGGGGATTTTATCTATGAAGGAAGGTTGGATAGACTGAGCTTGTTTTCACTGGAATGTGGGAGGTTGAGGGGCGACCTGACAGAGGTTTGTAAGATTGTGAACGGCATGGATAGAGTGGAAGGTATGAGGCTTTTTCCCAGGTTGGAAGGATCAATTACTCGGGGACACAGGTTCAAGGTGCGGGGGTAGGGGGGGTGGGGGCGATGTTTAAAAGAGATATGCGAGGCAGTTTTTCACACAATGGGTGATGAGTGCCTGGAATGTGCTGCCAGAGTAGGTGGTGGAAGCAGTCACAATTGCAGCATTCAAGAAGGACCTGGATGAATACATGACTAGGCAAGGAATAGAGGGACATGGATCCTGTAAGCGAAAACCGTCTTAGTATGGAAGGGCAAAATGTGTTGGTGCAGTCTGGGAGGGCTGCAGGCTCTGTTCTTGTGCTGTATTGTTCTTTGTCACCACAGCTCAGGTGAGGGGAGAGATTGAGAAAGAGTCCTTCATGGTAACCTTAGCTAGTGTGGGAATTGAACCCATGCTGTTGGCATCACTCTGCTTTGCAAATCAGCCATCCAGCTAACTAACCCCTAAAACATTATTGATGGTTCGTAGCACAGGCTTGGTCACGGTTTTGTTCTTGTTAAATCTCTTTTAGCCTGTTTTGGCTTGAGGGCTACTCTCAGCCTTAAGAAACATTTATTTCACACTTTTGTTTGTTAGTTCAATAATTTTTTTCTTCAGTTTGGGTTCTGCCATAAGTCTAAGTCGCCAATGAATTCACCTACCAATTGTGCCTTGACTGTTTGGCTCACAATGGTTTATTCCTGCACCAGTTGATTCCAGTATTTTCCTAATGATAATACCAGGCTAACTGACCTAATATTCTTTATTTTCTTACTTGCTCCTTTCTTGAAGAGTGGTGTAACATCCAATTCACTTGGACCCTTCCCCAATCTCGAAAAAAAAATCACAACTAATGCATGCACTATTTCTTCAGCTAACCTAGAAATTTAGGTCTAGGCCATTAGGCCTAGGGAATTTGTTGGTTATTAGCCCCATTAATTTCTCCTTTGCTTTATCTGTGCTAATATTAATGACTTACATTAATGTTTTTACTCACTCTAGTTACAGCGTGGGTTTTAATATGTTGTTCCTGGTAATTGTTTTGTCTAATGACAGACATAAAATATTTGCTAATATCTCTGCTATTTCTTTATTTCCTGTTGTAACTTCCCCTGTCTCAACTTCTAAGGGACCCTCACTCTTTTTTAAATACATTTATAGAAGATCTTGCAATCTAGTTTTGATATTTTTTGCTAGTTTACTCTCATTCCATTATCTCCCTCTTTATCAGGTTTTATGCTTTACAAGTTTCTAAAAATTTCTCCCATTCTAATGCTCACTACAGCTCTTGGCATTTTTACAAGCCTCTTCTTTTAATATATTACTATCCCAAACCTTTGTTAGCCACTGATGGAGCACTTTCCCTGTGGAATTCTTTTATTTCTCAATGGAATGTACATTCGTTGAAAATTATGAAAAAATATTGTCCATATCCTATTCTTCAATTAGCCCTTTTAATCTAATTTCCCATTCTACCTTAACCAATCTGATCTTGTGTCTATGTAATTGGCTTTATTTGAGTTTGACAATCTAGTTCCAGATTTGCGTACCTGAGTCTCAAAGTGAAATTCTACCATATTAAGATCACTCTGACCTGGAGCATCCCTAGTAGTTAATCCTGCATCATTATTAAGGAAAGGTTTAAAATGATGTCTTCACAGTTGTTTCATAAGATATTATTCCTGCAACATGTCTTGGATTCACTCCATGAATTCACCCGTGAAATTACATTAGCAGATTTGATTATTCCTGAACCAGAATTACGACCAGTTCACTTGTGATGGGCCCAGATCAGGACAGATGAATTTGTCGTGCATTCGAACATTTGTTACAAACCACTTTTGATTTCTTTTTGGCATCTACAGATTAAGGAGCTCCGGCTTACACTGAGAAGATGTTAAGTGTAAAGATTTTCTCTGTATTTACACAATTCTCTTTATTTTCCTTTCTCTTGTTGCAGCTACAAGTGGGAACTTTTCCTGTGTTCAGACACTCTGTGATTTCAAGTCCCCTTTAAATGTCCATGATGATGTAAGTGATAACCACACTGTGGATTCATTGAAAACCAGCCTGGGTGAGGCTGAAGCTTTAGTCTTGTTTATTGGTCTTGTGTTAATGATGAATTGAAATGGAACAGAGTGGATTTCAGATCTCCAGAGTGCAAATGTGGGAAAAAATAATCTTGCAAATTTGGAAACTGGGAACTTAAAGTTCCATCATTGAGAGGAGTCATTATCTTGGATTGGTGACTCAACAGACAGATGAACAATGACACCATGATGTTATCAGTAACTCAACCAACAATTTTAACCAATGATTATTGTATATTTAGAAGGACATATTGATTTTTATGTGATTCAAGCACTACAAATCTTTGGAGATTACGTTGTTCCAATGACCTGGTGACCTGATGCTCTAGTAACTGAAGGATCCAATTATCCAGTAATCTGGTTTGTTGTCGATCTGGTGACCTGGTACCTCTGTATCCTGATGTCTCCAGGTTCAGGTGTAAATACTGTGACTGAGAGTATCTGGAATCTTCCGTACATGGGTGAGTGGGGAAGGTTCCATGGAAAGAATTTTACCATTAACCCCAGTCCCAAAGCATTGGTGGAGAGGAGGGAGTCGGTGAAATTCCTTGGGGGTGGTCTTCTTCTTGGGCTCCTCAATCTCTTGTCAGTTTTAGAGTGGGATGGGTGATTGTGAAACTGATGTGTAAGGAGTCATGCAGTTAAAGTCTAGACGCATGAGTCACAAACCTACCAATTCATTCTGGGGTGGACTCAATGGTAACTTGTAAAATGATGGGAATGTGTTGCAGTTTCAATGGATTTTTGACACTATTTGTCTATCTATTTGGATGCCCAATGGTGAGGATCTGGCACCAACTATTGCAAGAACTCAGGTCTGTATGATCCTGTAACTTCCCTACTTCTTTTTAACTGACTCTGAGTGGCAGTGGGACTCTCAAAGATGAACTCACTAAAGTTGAGCATTCGGACAGCTGAGATTCTGACCTATCACCCCTGAATGAGAGGCATTGCATCCAACAAAGGCACCAACAGATGTTGGTAGGGCACTTGGTCCTGGATTACTATCTCTCTGTCTGTCTCTCTCTTGTCCAGGATGGCTGCACTCCACTGATCCTGGCTGCACAGATGAGCAACTATGAGATGTGCAGGTGCCTGATTGTCAGAGGAGGAGATGTGAATAGCAGGGACAAACAGGGAAGGTGAGATGTGTCTACCAGGTGGCAAAATATTACTCGATGGGAAGACAGGTAAAGAGTGAGTGGGGGTGAGTAAAATCCCCCAATAAAACTCCTTAATTACATTCTTCAGAAGGACATCAATCAATGAGGCATTAGATCGGAAGCTGTTCAGTTCCAGGATAGGCTGGCTAGACCACCTTGGTCCCTTAGACTTTACTCTAGTTGTACTTAAAGGGGTTAGCCCTGTTCCTCTCCCTCACACAGTCTCACTCTCTATATTCCTTATGCTCCCTCTGTGCTGCCCCTATGGGAGGAGTGGCATTGGGACATGGTGTGGGTGTAGGGATTATAGGGATCTGGAAAGATTATCAGGGGTATAGATAAGACCATTTCAGATTTATTTGTCAAAAGCCTCCTAATTCCAGACTGGGTGGATGGTGACTCTTTTGAGGGGCTCTGAGAAACTGGGCTGACTTCACATTGACCTCCAGGCAACATGAATCATCCCTGCAATGCAGCCTGCCAAGGTCAAGTCTTACAACCTCCAACCTTATCCTACACTGGTCCCTGGGAAAGGGTCACTGCTGTTCACAATTGTCCAGAGTCAGACCAACTCCATGGAAGTCTAAGCCAGAACATTGATAGCAAATGTTGGTTCACTCTTGCCGGTCTCAATATTCCATATTCTCTATCGTAACATTTCCTGAAAAAAATTTATCTTTAGTACATTTGATTCAGTACTCTAGGGCAGAGCAAATCAGTCCCTTCACCCGCTTAGGGATGACTCTGACTCTCTACATTTTTGCCATCACTCTCAGGAGCTTCTCCCACAAACTGACCACTCCATCACTGAACTCTATCCAGTGTTTATTCAGGAATTTATCATCCCTTCCAGACCAGGGTGTCTTCTCTGGGTCCTACTGTTCTTGTTAAAATGATAGAAATTGTCTTAAGATAGCTCCTTATTAAACCATATCTTGGCTCATTAAGGGTCTTGTTGACTACCCACCCCTCATTCTCCACCTCTTCGGTAGAAGCACATTCTACTGCCTATGTAACAGTGAAGCTGAGGACGATTGGACAATTTGGCCATTAATGGCTTAACCATGTGGACGGCTGAGTCTCAGGCCTGCATGCAGGAAGATGTTATCGGAATTTGGCATTCTCACTGCTAACAAGTGGGCTTAGTCTCTGCTTTTCTCCCCGAACATAGAACAGCCTTGATGCTGGCTTGTGAAAATGACAGCGTGGAGACAGTGGACGTGCTTGTCCGGAGTGGAGCTAATGTCAGCCTTCTGGATGCCTTGGGTCATGATGCCAGACACTACAGTATGGTGACTGGAAATACAGACATTCTGCAGCTACTTCACATGGCCACTCATGGAAGCTTCTGGAACAGTGGTAGGTTATGTGCTTTATGTGCCTTGGAATAGTATTGCCAGACAATTCCTCCTCTCCCCACCCAATATAAACAAATTACTGAGATCTAAATAATCCTCACCTCGTACCTGAGTTCAAAGGGATGTGGCCTTGTTCTAGGCCCCATGAATGCTGCTCTCCAGCCACCTACATGTCTTGGAACAGCCACCTTGGAATGTTCATGGACAACTGCTCTCCCTGATTTTTTTAAGAAAAGGTCATTCACAGGATGAGGGTGTTGCTGGCTAGGCCAGCATTTATTGCCCATCCCTAGTTGCTGGAGGCAGTTAAAATGTCAACCACATAGCTGTGGGTTTGGAGTCACATGTAGGCCAGACCAGGTAAGGATAATGATTTCCTTCCCTGAAGGACATTAGTGAACCAGATGGGGTTTTTCCTGACAATCAACAATGGATTAATGGTCATCATTAGACACTAATTCCAGATTTTCTGCCATTGTGGGATTTTAACCCAGGTCCCCAGAACATTACCTGGGTATCTGGTAATCGTTAGTGATTATACCACTAGGCCGTTGCCTCCCCTTTTGTAGTACTGTTAATTTTCCACCAGTTCTTTGTGATCATCGGTAAGAGTTCCTGCTGGTTTATGTTTGCAGATCATCAAAAGTAAGGCATGGGACAAAAAAAAATAAAAAGTGTTTGAATTTATTCACTCCCTATCCTCCACAATTGGACTTTTGTGGACTCTCTGGCAATCAACGAAGGATAGGTTTCCTAAAAGAACGAAATTCTGGGGAATAATTCTGCAAAAATGCCACCCATTCTACACATAAAACAATTTACATTTATAAAGCATCTTGAACATAATGAAATGTCCCAAGGCATTCACAAGAGATTTGTAAAACAAAGTACTGCATTGAACTTCACATAAGGAAATATGAGGTCAGTTGGCCAAAAGCTTAGTCAAAATGTCAATTTTAAGACGTCTCTTAAAGGAGGAAAGCCAAGTATTGAGAGGGAGAGATATAGGGAGGGAATTCCAGAGCTTGGGACCTAGGTGGCTGAAGATCTGAGGATACAGAATCACATAAGGCAGGAAGCTTGGAAGGTTGTGGGGTTAAAGCAAGTTACAAGGACAGGGAGAGGCAAGATCATAGAGGGATTTGAAAACAAAAATTAGAATATTAAAATTAAGGTGTTGATTGACTGGAAGCTAATGTCAGTCAGTGAGCACCATGATAGGATTTTGCTGTGAGTTTTGACCACAGATTTTTGGAAGATCTTGAGTTTATGGAATGTGTGAAAGAACACTGAGTATTGCATTGGAATAGCCAAGTTTGGTTGCAACTAAGGCATGAATGGGAGCATCAGCAGCAGATGAGCTAAAACAGAAGCAAAGTCATGCTCTAACCAATCATATATTTTACAGATGATTTATCCAAAATTCCATTAACACATCATCCTAGAATCATTGAATACAGAAGAGACTATGAGGCCCATTGAGTCTGCATTGCCAAAATCATGTTATTACCTACACTAGTCCTACTTCCCTGCACTTTGCCCATAGACTTGAATGTTATGACACTCAAGTGCTCATCCAAATACTTTCCAAAGGTTCTGAGGTTGCCTGCCTCAATTACCTCATCAGGCAATACACTCCAGACCCTCACCACCATCTGGGTGAAAAAAAAGTTTTCCTCAAATCACTCTAGACCCCTATTTACCTTGTTCCTGACCCTTGGATTAAGTGGACTAAGGCATTCTATTCACCCTGTCCATGCCCCTCGTTATATTATACATCTCTATCAGCTGTCCCACCCCACAAACCTTCTCTGCTGCAAAGAATATCCGAGCTTATCCACTCTCTCGGTGTAGTCAAAATGCTCTGTGGATCTCCTTTGCACCCCATTCAGAGATATCACATACTTCCTATAGTGCGGAGACCAGAACTGCGCATCATACTTCAGCTGTGGGCTAACCAACATTCGTAACAGATCAATATGACTTCCCTGCTCTTATAACCCATGCCACAATTGATAAAGGCAAGCACCACATATGTCTTAAAAATCTTATCAACCTGTCCTTCTGCCTTTGGGGATCTGTGGACAAGATCCCTCTGTTCCTCTGAGCTTCCTAGAGTTTCCTCCCACTGACATTCAAAAGGAGAGAGAAGAGTTGAAGTTGTGACTGAACATTTGTTATTCAGACATTCCCTTCCTCCCTGTGAAGTTGTATTTAAAGATGAGAAATGTTGAAATTTAAACATGTTTTGTGATGTGTTTTTCTTTTGTGCAATGGATGATCCTATATCGGTTTTATGAGGTGTAGAACCTCCACTCCAGCAATGAGAAAGCATTTTTCTTTCACAAATGCACGTTAAAGTTCTTGTATGAGAGAATTTGTTCACACAGTACAGCTTTTAGTGGTGCTACACAGACTGATCTCTGAGGGTAATAGTCAGTGAGGACTTTACATTTCCATATATCCATGCATAAGAACATTGGCTGGGGGTGGCATGGGAGATAGCCATGGTGCATTCAAACAGAGGACATCCTGATTGTCCTTCCTGGATCTGCACAATGTTTCTACATTATATCGAGGCTGAATTTGACAGCTAAAGTGGTACCTGGGCTTACATAACTGGTGGCACTGGGCCCAGGAGTACTGTACCATTACCCTACTCCTGAGTGATTTTGATTGCAAGATGCTATTTCATTTCCTGCATTTCATAAAGCTTATTTCCGTGTTTGATTTATTCCTCAACAGAACCCGAATTAAGGAGGAGGCAACATCAGGTAATAGACCTGGACTTGAGATTATCAATAACTGACCAGAAATGCAGCCTGCTTCAGATTTGAAACACACACGACATACCCCCATAATGTTTTCCATCTTTGTTCAAAATTAAAACAGGAAGGTGCAACTTTACTTCAAAAGTTCCAGTTACGGAATGCTTTAGTTCATATTGCATGCAGTAAAATATAGATAATTGCTATTAAGTTACATTAAATGTAATTATTTAAAAATTTCAAATCTTACGTTGGTAGACTTTTGGAATATAAAGCCATACAGTGTCACAGAGACAAATCAGGTAGGTGAAATAAAATAAAGACCAGTCATGATCTCATTCAATGGTGAAAGGCTTGAGGGCCTGAACAGCCTTTGCACCTTGTTCCTATTCTCCTTTCCCCTGATTACTTCTTCCTTTAATTGTAGCTACTCTTGCTAGAAGATCTGTAGACATTGGCATGTCACATTTGCCTGTCGAGCACCATCCTTCCACTTTCAATGTAGTCTGTCCGCACCCACTTTGTGACATCCATCATTCAACAAAGCCCCTCTTTCCCCTGCCCACAACTTTGCCCATGTGTGATACCATCCACTCCAATCTTCACTTTGGTTTCTTCTAGCATATTCCTTTTCACCATTATTGTTTTTATCTTTTTTTCAATTCATTCTCAATCCATATTTTAAACTTCCAGCTTTTTACATGATCTGCAATATTATGTACAACTCTTCCATCCGAAGCACATCCTTTTCATTCTTCTTTCAGCCTGATGCTCACTGTTTGTCTCAATATAGACTGTGGATAAATCTCACGTCATTACAGTTAATGTCAAATTTCAGCAACACTATCATCAGAGCTCACAATATTTTGAGTACGTTTCTGTAGATTTTTTAGGAGTAGTCCTGGGCATTTTTATCACTTCATTTTTGAGATTGGTGTAAACTAATTGACGGAAGTTGATTACTATGCCAGGAATCATCATTTTTCCTCATTTCCCTTTCCCTCTGGTTTCTTTGTCATCCTTCGGAAATTTCCTCTTCCCAAATCTCTTCTTTCCTTCTTCTGTCTTTTCTCTTCCTGATTTTCTCTCCCACGTGCAAATACTATATGGCAGCACTCGTGGAGATAATGAATGGGGGATTCTGTGAGATAATTCCACATATTAAATGCAGTCTCTACTTTGGCTTAGAGAAAAAAAAAACACATCAAAACCCATCAAGTTCTGCTTTTGCCATCCAGGCATGCAGATGCTGCAATAAAAATAGCCTCATTTACCATATAATGGTCAATTTGATCAGTTGATTCATAACAGATATAATGTGAGGAAAATCCCAATGGTTTATCAGATATTTGATTCAGACACCCCAGGAATTTATGGGACTCATATAAAATTACCTTGAATCATTCATACTTCACTGCCGTGTGAAGGGCAATAATTATTAGCCTCTACGTTAACGGTCCAACAAAGATTGATTCTGAAAGGCAATGAGCAATTGCAGAGGAGTCCATTTGTTGAACCTGGAACAACCACAGTGTTCATGGGAGACAGGGAGTACTCTTAATCCTCTTGATTCAAACGAAATTTGCCAAACTAAATTTGAAAGGCTTTTCCAAGGTGATCCCTACTGTCCAATTCTTATGGGCATAGTCTGTGCATCACCCACCAGAAACAGGCAAATGGGTTGCTCTTTCATTTACGGACCCCTGAAAATTAAAAGAGGCATGATTTCAGCATTGATGAAGTACAGAATTATCTTGTATTAGTGTGGTAGTACATGAGACAGCATGGCAATCGGAGTTGATGTGCGTAGAGCAACTTATTGGACAGTAGTCTGGCTTTTCTGATGTTTGGGAGATGCTTCAGCAGCGCAGATTGGAGCTGTGCTTTGAGTTTCTGTGGAATTAGCTGGGAAATTCCACTGAGTTTGGAACCCTTCAAATAAACCCCTTAACGCAGAAGAATTTGGACATCACTTATCCGCCAGCCTGACAAACTACTTACCATTGCATCCTTAGATTAGTTCATCGAGTTCATAGAATCCCTACAGTATGGAAGCAGATCATTCGGCCCAACAAGTCCACACCGACCCTCATAGCATCCCACCCAGAGCCATCCCCCTAATACCCATCTAATCCACTCATCCCTGAACATTATGGGCAATTAAGCATGGCCAATCCACCTAGCCTGCACACCTTTGGACTGCGGGAGGAAACCGGAGCACCTGGAGGAAACCCACGTAGACATGGGGAGAATGTGCAAACTCCACACAGACAGTGGGTGGAGGGTGGAATTGAACCCAGGACACTGGCACTGTGAGGAAACAGTGCTAACCACCGTGCCACCCCCTTATTATTTGTTATTCTACCAGTCCACCAAGGACTATACATACCTGGTACTCTTGCACCCTATTTACGTGGCACCTTAGCCCATAATTTACAATCAGTGTAATCCCACATTTACCTTACAAACTAACACTTTCACAGCAGCTGACAAAATGTCCAGCTATGCTGCTGGACATTTAGATCTGAAAACACAGCACACTGCTGAGAAAAAGGCACATTGGTTTGACTTACTTTAACTATTCTGAAGCATGGGGAAATTGTACTCATTTCAGCTCTGCTCTGCATTTCTGGAGGAGCTGGGATTTCAATTCCTGGCTAGAAATGTGGAGCTCAATACTACAGTAAAATGAGATGAGAAGAGTGGTGATCCAACTGTGATTGCCATTCCTTAGGATATTCAACCCCTTGTCATTTGTGGAGTATAAATTGTTCTCCATTCAGTATTTTGTGTTGAGAACTCTTCTGGATTGCTTAATAGTCTACAGCCTCCCAATGACAAATATATAATTGTTTAACTTGGAATTACTGATGGTTTTAATAAGACAAACAAGTTAATTTATTCCTCACGTCTGAATGTACATCATTTGGATTTATCTACTTGTTCGACCCACTGAGTAGCTCCCACTGACTTATCATTTTTATAAAATGTAACGTAGACTTTATGGAACACACTTTTCACATTCCTTTGCTGATTTCTGCAATCATCCTCCTCTTTCTCCATCTCCCCTTGATACATGGTGATAACCTCAGAGCTTTCCCTCCCCTTCATGTCAGCAAAGACTCCTTTTGCTCTTTAGATTTCTCTGCTATGCACATGTCGTCCCTCAGAAAGTCCTTCTGTGTCTCTCTGAACCTAATTCTATCTTTCCAGTTTGTTTCCATCTGAACTCCATCCTCCCACCATTTTTCTTTGGATTTTTATCGTACTTGCTGTGTTGCAGCCCAGTTGGGAATGGGGTACTGATTCCTTTCCTTG